CTCCATTTTGGGAAATGCACTGATGACAGCATATTACTCAAACCATAGAGAACTAGAAATACTCACAAAACATGTAAACTGCAATAAATCCTTTTTCAAGCTCAAATAGTGGCTTGGAGGAAAAGTCAAAAAGATAATCGGCTCGAGAAGCAGCCCTACAATCAGAAGTAACAACAATGAATTGTCTCCTTCCTGAGGTGCCAGCTCCAAAGACAAATCCACTTTTTGAAGAAAAAGAGGATATCAAGGAACTGCGGGCAACAGAACAGAATGGAAAATGGTTACTCCCAGACAGTAGAGAAATGTTAAACAAATAAACCATGAGGGAAATATTATCCGTCCTGCATTAAGGAAGCCATTGGGGAACACAAGCCACGTGTGACCTGGTGCTACGAAAATATGGGTGCATTGGAATTTATACAATAGCTAAGCAAATTTGTGAAGGATGTATGGTTTGTAGAAAGTTCAAAAAAAAGGGTGCTAAAAAGGCAACCTACAGGGGGGTGACTTCCAGGTTTAAGACCTTTTCAGAGTATTCAAGTTGATTTTACTGAATTACCAAAGATAGGCCAAGCAGATCATCTAACAGGCTGGGTAGAAGCATTTTCCCTCAATCTGTTTGGGCCTGTTCATTGGCACAACAAACGTTTCTCACAAGATCAATTTAATTTATCACCAATCAAATCAGAACAGGACAAAGAGAAACAGAAAAATCAGATCTTAAATACCTTACTCCACCCCTCCCTTCTTCCTGGGCCCAAGTTACTTTGCTCCCCATTTCTCTACCTCCTCCCCTCCAGTAGCACAGGGAGACAGGGAAAGGGGGTTGCGATCAGTTTGTCAGATGTTGTTTTCTGCCTTCCCTTCCTCCTCAGGGGGGAAGACTCCTCACAGTCTTCCCTTGTTCCAGTGTGGCATCCTTCCCACAGGAGAGAGTCCTTCACTAACCTCTCCAACATTAGTCCCTCCCACAAGGTACAGTCCTTCAGGAACAGACTACTCCAGCACAGGCTAACCACACAGCCACTACCTTCTTTGGGCACAGTCACCTCCCCTGGCATGGTCCTCCACAACTGCAGGTCCACATCTTCCACACCACAGTCCTTCAAAAAGTGCAGGTCTGTATCTGCTCCACTATGGTCCTTCATGGACTGCATGTCCACATCTGCTTCAGTGTGTTTCCCCATAGGCTGTTCCACCATGCTCCTCTATGTGCTGCAGTGGGACAGCCTGCTGTCTCACCATGGGCTGCAGAGGAATCGCTGTGCAGTCACCTCCTCCCCCTCCTTCCTCACTGACCTTGCTATCTGTGCTCAGGTATTGCTCTGACCTCCTCCTCTCTTCTGTCCTGCAAGTCTTACAGCAGTTTTGTTTCCCCCCTTCTTGAATATGTTGATCGCAGAGGTGCATCTACCATCACTGATGGGTTTGGCTTTGGCCTGGATTTTGGAGCTGGGGAACTTCCAGCAGCTTCTTACAGGAGCCACCCCTGTGGCCCCTGCCCCACTGCCAAAACCCCACCACACCCATCCAACACACAAATGAATCCTGGTACCAAACTCCTCTCCACACATAAACACTTTGAAGCAACGTTAAAGCCTTTCAATGTGAACTCATTAGCTGATGAAGTCATAGACAAAGCAGCTTAAAGCACTGCTCAGAGCAGTAACACTGGGAACTCAGCCATCTCATGCTGCTAATGCAACTCCTATGGCTTTGTCTTCACTATCTACAGAGCAGCTGATGCAAAGCAACACCACAGCAGTGCCGTGGTCCATATCCTGTGGCGAGCCAGGAATGAATACTGCACACCAATATGATGTAGGTTCAGTCCAAGTTTATTTAGCTGCGTGCAGATTATATAGTCTCAGGACAGTGTGCAGGCTGTCCATCCAGCAAAGTAAAGCTCTTAATTGGTTAATATACATTGTTCACGCATCCCCATTCCCCTTTTGATTGGTCACTACTTTAAGCCCTTTATCTGACTCCCTGTCCTGTTTACCTTACTACCTGATTACTACACATACCAGAGCCTCACTAGTTCCCATGAGAACGACCTTCCCTGTTCCTCCAGTTGCCTGATGTTTTCATCTAAAGTTTCTCATAATCTTTCAGCACAGTCAGGGCCCCAACACAGCAGAATGAAAAAAGGACTCCAACTTTGCAGAAAGTTAAGTTTTTTTAAGAGGAGTGCTACTCTGACAAAGGAATGTAACAAAGCATAGCCTGAAAGAATTTAAAAAGTAAAAAAGTTTTCTATCTATATGTGTATACACACACACAGGTTTCAACCCTTCTGGTACTAGCATGACATTTTCAAGTCCTCCCTGGAGTCACCTGACACAAGTAACACAACATATGCTGCTACAATGACACAACCAGATGTGACACAGGCACATTTTGCATGTCAACGGTTCTTACTTTTCAGCTGCTGTTTCTGCAGTCAAGAAAAATAATTCCTGGGTTCCTACATTCGCCTGTCCTACTCACTAAGGCCAGAGGATCTGAATGTTAATACCACTGCACATCTTTAAAAAATGTTTGGTTCAGCTTCTCTCTCATCACTTGGAAACTGATCATGTAAAAGGAAAAAAAAATCCCAGTGGACATATTCAAACTCTGGAACAAGTGTCCAGTGAAGCTGTGGACTCTCCATCCTTGGAAATGTGCGAAGTTTCAGACAAGACCCTGAGTAACCACAATCGAAGTCAGTCCTCTCAGAGCAGGCAGCTGAACCAAATGACCTCCAGGTTCCTTTACAGCCTTAAGTGATCTAGGAGTCTATCTTTAAAGATTAACACAAGCTGAAGGGGGAGAAGAGATAAGTGATTTTTCTTCTTCCTTTGCCTTTCTCAGACAAGATGCTGGGGCTAGCTTTCAATGCTTTAGCTCTGAGCTAGAAACTCCTCTAACACTAAATTCAAGCTGTATAGGCCAACCACATTTTTATTATTTTTTGATGCAAAAGACTGGTTGGTAACACTGTAACCACACAAGAATGGGACCATTTTAAGAATTCATCAAAAGAGCAAACCAAACTTTTTTAGCTACCCACACTGTATGTATATACCTACATCCATAAGAGTCTGAATTGTCCATCTAGCTTAGGTGCTAGATGCTTAGCAGGATTCAAAAGGGGATGTTTCTTGGGTTAGAAGGATCATCCAACCTTGAAACAACAAGCCAACTTCCTCAATTCAGACGTAAGTCAACAACTAACAATGCAAAACCTTCCCAGTCTACTTATTAATGCTGCAATTCTTTCTACCAGCAATTCCTCCCATATCTCATGTCTTTGCCATGGCACACAGACTGTAGCTGCACAGGCATACTCATCATCCTACAAACACAGTGGCTGGTTCATTAGATGTGTTTCTCATAGCAGCCTCCACAGAGTTAAAAGCTGCCTATTAGAATGGAGAAGATGGAGATGCAGATGCTTGCAACTTTCTGAATGCATTACAGAACTTTATTTGCATCAGTATTAAATTTTTCTTTGGAAAATGAGCACTATCTCCATTCAGTTTTGGCTTATCTGATCTGTTAACAGCAGGCTAGCACAGGATATGAATCCCCTGCTTTCCCTGTTGTCTCTTTTCCATGCTAATTTTACATTTATGACATTGATCAGACAGCAGATAGATGTATGGGAAGAGGAAAGAACAGTTTAATTATCACCATTAATTTGGGCAGGATCAAAAGGATGATCATCCAGAAAACTGTTAGCCAATCAAGTGGGCTGGAAGTATTTAAATAAAAAACCCCAAGGACAATTCTGCAGAAATTTGTATTTATAGTTGCAGCTTAGCCTAGATCAGTCAGGTCTGAATCTGTTGTGACAAGAACAACCTCTATGAATTGTCATTTTGCCGCTGTTTGTATTTTATTGTGACTATGTTCACAGAATCACCAAATCACCAAGGCTGGAAAATAACTTTAAAATCAAGTCCAGCATATGACCTAACACCACCACATTGGCACAAAGTTCATTACTGCTTGCAATTCACCAACTGATTTTGGTAAGGAAATTTTTCAGAATCACAAGGCATATTTTCCTTTTACTGATTCATGGATAAATACTCAGCCCAGCCTCCATTAAGAAAATCTTCATTAAGATTTTCTAGACATACCAGGTGAAACAAAATTCATGTAAGGCATGACAACATTCTCAGATACAGAAAACTTCCTTCTTGTATCCTATAAATACAGGTAAGTGCCATCATTCAGCTTGTTTTAAGAAGCAGAAAGAGCACACCAAAAGTCAAGCTAGCAGCATATTCAGGTGCCAGGTAAAGAGGAACCTGAGTCACACAGCTGTTGTCACAGGAACATCTGACTGAGCTGTAAAGGTTGAACTTTGGACATTTTTTTATTCTTGCTAAAGCTCCCACTAATATAAATTCTGCTGGAGTTTAAATAGACAGGCATTAGTATGATCAACCCTTACAACAGGTTGATCCTTTCCTAAGATGTTAAGCTCTAAGTAACTTTATTACCTAATTAATTAGGTCTATTTTCCAGAAAGTTAGTATGAAGTTTCAAAGGGTTAAGAATTACATTTTGACAGGAGAGAACAAAAATGCAGGATAGAGTCAATAATTTTGAAATGTAAGGAACTAATCTTGATGGTAGTGAAGGTCAGCTTACAGTACTAGGCCAGTACACTGAAGCAACAAAGGCAGGATCCCTAAAAATCACAGAGCATTTTCATTCTTCCAATGGAAGAATTTTAAGTCAAGTCTGTGACAATTAATCCATCTGTGAATAGGGGTTTAGGCACCTGCTACCAAGAGCTGTAATAAAATTGGATTATTTGAAGAACCTTAAAGATCTTAAACAATAATAAGAAAGGTTGTGCATTTCTTCTAACAACAGCTAAATTAAGAAACTGGTGGTGGCTTTGTTACTTAGCTAATATACACTGCAGAACACACCAGTAACACTACCTAGCCAAACTTTGTGATATTAAGCATGTTAGGGTCATGGCAATGGTCACTTACGACATTCCTTCTCATCACTGTCATCAAAGCAGTCTGGCAGGCCATCACACTGCCAGGCCCCTGGGATACAGCGCCCGTTACTGCACATGAAGTTTCCAGGAATGTTGCATTCATTTGTGAAGTTATTCCCAGGCAACAGCTGGCTCTCTGCAACAAATAAAACAGAGGAAGGTTTACAGAGGATTTTTTAAAAGGCAGCAAAAGCAGTCACTAAGCAAACTATTTATGAGCAGTTGAACAAATATGAGACAAATGCATCTTGACCCTGGTTATTTTGTCATTACCCTAACGGTATCCTGAGTATGATTCTTGATAGCACTTTCTCTGAAATTATCATTGTACCTGTTCTTCATTCACACTCCCTATTTTACAGATTTCTTTCTTACTATTTTCTTTCTACAAACATGCAGCCTTCCAGGTATCCTCAGGTCAAATCAAGCTAGTTAAAAAAAAAAATGAAGTCTCTCCTTCCCAGAATTATCTAACCACAAGTAAAACAGATGAACCTACCAGAACTCAGCTCCATCATCCCATGCTTTTGTCAGATCAGTACTTAGCTTGAAGAAAATTTTCTTGTTACCCAAGGGCTCAGAACTAGATAACACACTGACTAATTCATACTAGGTTTTCAATCAAGTTTTACACATAGTGCTGCTGATCAAAGTTAGAATTGAACTTCTTAGTGTTAATATAGTCCCTTGGCATTAATCTGTCCACAAGCTAGTAAGGTAGCCAAGTGCAGGGCATTTAGTAGCAGGATATCACAGATCAAGAGAACAGTGTAAGATAAAAGCTAGAGATTTGCCTTCCAGGCTAAACACAACTCTACTAAATAATTTTTATCTACTGTGTTTCCCACTTTGTGCATTGTTTTTGGAATGCAGATACCACAGAAACACAAACTTGAGTGAAGTCACTTGAGATAATGTCACTCAATGGTTTTAATAAGCACCAAAATGGCATAGCATGTTGTCGAGCTGGAGGGAAGCTGCAAGACAAGGCAGAGGATGAGAGAACAAACTTCCTTCCCCTCGTCTTCCTCTGCCATGTTCCATACTACTCCCAGGCAACATGCACTTCACCAGAAACACAAACCTTCCTACATAAGGGCAGAGATGTCACAAAAATATGCCCCCTCTGCCTGCTCACATACCTTCACAGTTCAAAACCAGGAAGAACAAAATAAGCTGATGTACAGCTTAATAATTTACCTAAGATTTACCTATTTTGAGGATAATAGCATAATTTTTAGAACCCTAGGGGAGTGGCAAAGCTGCAGTCAGTTCCCTTCTTTGTCCACCCTACACCAGCTTGCTTCCTGCTCATATTGGAGTCCAATTGCTTCCTCTCCTCTGGAAGGCCTGAGCTTCAGGGGTGAGAAGATTATAAATGCAGATGATGATTGCCCCACTCTTTGATGCTGCACGGGACACAGAACAGGCACAGCTGCCAGGATCAGCAGTTTCAGCAAAGACCCTTTCCTAGCTCATTCCCACAGTCCCAGGGAGAATCCTGGTCTATTCAGGTATCTTCGGAGAACTCAGCTGCCAAAATAACTCAGCTGCCAAAATAACTCAGCTGCCAAAATAAGCGTGAGGGTTTCCAGAAACCAAAGAATCAGCCAAATGCAGATGGTTCCCTTCCTCCCCCACAACACAGCAAAATGACTGACACAGATAAAACTGCTAAGTTTTACATCACTGTTTCAAGAGAGACATGATAGGACTGTTTCAGAGAGTTATTTTTTTTCTGCCTGCCCCAAACAATGTATTTCCTCTCAAATATTATTTATTGCAAATGGCTGACTCTCCTGAGAAAGTTTTAAGAATCTGCAAGCACAGAGCTTGGAGAAAGCACAAAACTTTAATGGAAATTTGTCCTGAACTGTTAAAAGACAAGGTAGTTGACGAAACGGTGGAAGTAAGCTGAAAATAAGGTCTTTAAGGTCCCTTCCAACCTGAACCATCCCATGATTCTGAGGCAAATGGGGCAATCTCAACCACTGACCACACACCCAGAGACACTATAACTCTCCTGCTGTAGCACCTTAATAAAAGTGATAGCCAGCAAAAAACAAGCCCACACTATGGAGCTGGAAATTTCATGTCTTTTTGCTTTTAACAGTTCCATTCAAACCTCATTCCCTGCATTCTTGCTCTTCTGATGAAAAAAGGTTTGCTCTCTACCCTGCAATAGAAAAAGGCTACAACCTAGAAGCACTCTGCCAGTTCAGCTCCAGCTCACTCAGACAGGGCCTTCACTGCTACCAGCAGCTTGCAGGGAAACACTGTATCAAACTCTATTTGATGCCTGAGTCCCAAAATCTGAATCATTAATGGCAACTGTCTGCCCTTGGGAAGTTCAGCCATGAAATAATGAACAGATACAGTGCTGTCAATAAACACCCTGAGACTAGTGCAGCCTTACAGCATCACAACTAAGTTCAATCAGCAAGAGGTTATTTTGTTAGTTGCATGTTGCTTGTTTTTTTTTGTTGTTTTTTTTTCCTTAAAGCAGTCATTAAACACGTTCACATCAGTCTTCATATCATTGACCTGCACCTGGTAAGTAATCACCAAACCAAAATCATCATTCTCAAACAGCCGCAGAGGGTGAAACTGTCAACGTTACACAACACTATACATTCCTATTAGCAAGCGACTCCCAGGGCACTACTACTAACACCTCTGCCTGCAACTGAAGAAAGCCTACCATAGTATTACAAAGCACATTGTCTGTCTGGCATGCCATCAGCACATTAAGATATGAGAGATTAGATCATAGAATCACAGAATGCCAAGTTGAAAGGAACCTCAAGGATCATCTGGTCCAACCATTTTAGGCAATACTATAGTTTATATGAGATGGCTCGGCACCCTGTGAGGCTGAGACTTAAAACTCTCCAATGTGGGGGAATCTACCACTTCCCTCAGGACACTATTCCAATGTCCTCATGGTGAAAAATTTACCTCTTGTGTCCAATCAGAATCTCCCCAGGAGCAACTTGTGCCCACTACCCCGTGTCTTTTACATGTGACTCCTTGTAAATAGGGAGTCTCCATCTTCTTTGCAGCCACCCTTTAAGTACTGGAACATGGTAATAAGGTCTCCCTGAAGCCTTCTCTTCTCAAGGCTGAACAAACCCAGTTTTGCCAGCCTCTTCTCATATGTCAGGTCCTCCAGTCCTCTGATCATCTTTGTGGTCCTTCTATGGACCCCCCCAGCCTATCCATTTCCTTTTTGTAAAGCAGGGACCAAAAATGAATGCAATATTCCAGGTGTGGACTGACAAGTGCCAAGCAGAGCAGGATGATGACTTATTTATCTCTGCTCGTGATTCCCTTGTTGATGCAGCCCAGCATCCTGTTGGCTTTCTTTGCTGCTGCAGCACACCATGGTGAGCCTAGGGCCCTTTTCACAGAGCTGCTCTCCAGCCAGGTGGATCCCAGTCTGAACTGCACCCCTGGCTTAAGTGTTCCCAGGTGCAAGACCTTACACTTTTCCCCATTGAGTTTCATAAGATTTCTGTTAGCTTACTCTTCCAGTCTGTCCAGGTCATCCTGGAGGGTGGTTCTCACTCCTGGAGTATCAGCCTCTCCACTCATCTTGGTGTCACCAGCAAAATTCATCAGGGTGCTCTTGATTCCAGCATCCAGGTCACTTCTGAAGATGTTAAACAGCATTGGGCTCAATATTGATCCCTGGGGGACTCCACTTGTGACCAGTTGCTGCTCACCATTACCCTGTTCCACTCACAAAGCACTGTACCTGTTCCTGAGTGGCACCTGGGAAGGTGATGTAGTTGTTGGGCAGACGCATTTGCAGCATCGCTTGTGCCAAGCAGGAACATCTTGCCATTGCCCTCTGTCTTCCAAGGCATCACACTGAATTGGACAGAGAGAGGATGCAAAGCCCACTGTAGAAGGGGCTCTCTCTGCCTGTTGGGTTTCTATCATTGAAGGCAGGGTGTAATTCCCAAGCATCCATTTTCCTCTCACATTCCCTAATGGCCCTCAGCCTGCCTAACTCCACCAGGAGCTCTAGCACTAGGCAGAGTTGTTCCTCCACGCTGGAACACCTCCCACAGGCATGCTCACCGCTACCATCTGACAATGGTGTCTGAGTTGGGAACACCCTGCAGCCTGACACCTGGGTGATGGGATTTTCCCAGGAGAGCTCAGTCTGGGAAGCTGCGTCAGCCCTACAGTGTGCAAAGCTGAGAGATGCCATTGTCTTCTGCCAGGTGGATATCATTGTCACCTGGCTGATAGCAGTCTCTCAGCACCCTCCCAGCATCAACTGCCTGAGCAAACTTAGTGCCACGCCCTGCTCGCCACGCTCCGGGTCGGTCACGCTTCTTGGGGCAGCTGAGTGCGAGAAGACACAGGTGGTGCTGGCTCCACAGCTAGGCACAGGCTAGATGCTTCCGGATTCGAAAACCCCAAAAAGAGCCCTTCACTGGACTTTTTTTGCCATGAATCTCTCCCCTAGTGAGGGCTGGAGTCAGTCCCATCGACGTGTGACCGGGGTATTCTTTGCAATGTAAAGACACAACCAATATGACCTGTTCTTGAGTTTGTTATAAAGCATCCAAGAGCTTCAACAGAAGAATCTAGCTCCTTTCTCCACACTTGTCCCAAATAAATAGCTTTCAGGTCATTATGATACCACTAGAAGACTGTCCTGATAGTTGTCATAACTTTTACTAGAGTGAATTTAAAAGTTCTCAAATATTACAAAACAGAAATGTCCTATCTAAGAAAAAACCTCTGATGTAAAGCAGTTATTTGAAGCTTGACAAGAGAAGTGGGAATTATTGAGACTTTGGTCTCTCAGGAACTAGTCACCTGGGTCCTACATTTAGACAGTAACATCAAAAAGCTGCCATTCTCCTGGTTTCTCTCTGTTGCTCTGTACTACCTTCTGGTCTAACCTCATACCTGCATCTCTCACCCAGCCTGCTTCACTTCTACATGGAAGCTTCATCTATTCAAAATGAAAAATCCTGCTGTCAACACTTAAGTGAGAATTCTTTTAGACTTGTGCAAGTTGCTAGCCATGAACTGACACCAGGTCTCACAGCTACCGTCCCTAATTACAGAACTGCCTTCTCCCCTCTAAGCATCACAGTGTTCCTGAGAAAACATAACTGGATGGATTTCAAGCACTGTGACACCTCCTGTGCAGAATAAGCAAAGTTCAGCTCCTGTCAGATCTATTGCTGTTATCTTGCCTGAATAGCTTTAGCTATGATATTCACACTTCTTTAATGAAAAAAATTTAGACCATTACAAATAATGTAAGAAATTTTTAGTTTCAAAGGCAAAAGACTCAGGCTGAAAAGCAACTCCCCCAAAAAAGCTTTTAACAACTTACAGTTTACTTTTAACAATTCCTTTAAATAAATACTATACTTCTACCCTACTGAATTCCAGCAACACTCTAGAAACAGATGCCAAAGTTTATTAGTTACCCAGTAAGTTGTTTGCTTATAGGATTTCCTTTGGCATACAATAAATTTATCCT